CAGGGACCAGGGAGTGGTCTCCACACCACCTTCTCCAGTGACAGCCTTCTGCAATCTCTCCAGGGACATGGTCTGGCCTTAGAGGGATGACTGCTCTGTCTCCCCAGGCTTCTGTTCCTTGCAGGACCTTAGCCACGATTTCTGCCCGTGGATAAGGTGTCTACCGCCCAGCTCCCCAGCTGTGGTTTGCCCACAACAACAACAACAACAACAACAGCTCAAAGGAGGACAGGGCTTATCTTGTGGGGATCAGGAAATGGCTGGGCGGTCACTTCCTCTCCCAGCTTCACGGCCTGATGGGACTGGCCAAGGCTGCCTGTTACCCCAGGCTGGGTGCTTGAACCCCTACAGGCCAGACTGTGGGCTGGGAGCTGAGGAGCAGCGGGGAGAGGCCGGTGCCCACCCCTCCTGCAGCTGTCCCCAGACACCCCAGACCGCCTGAGCACGGTCCCCCCAGCATTCTCATCATCCTTGAGGTGAGGAAGGTCCCTGCAGAAGCGATTTAAATGCAAAATGTCTGCAGGAGAGGTGGTATTAGGGTCAGAAGCTGATTGATTTTCAAGACCTCCACCCCCACTGGCCTTGCCGCCTGCTGCCCGCTCAGCTCAGCGTCTCCAGGCCTCACAGAGCGGCTCAGAGGCAGGTTCTAGGCTGAGCTGATTTAAAGACGAGGAGCTGGAGGCAGAGACGGTGAGACTGGTGCATCAGGAGAAATTACTCAAACGCAGCCTTCTGACTCACATGTCCTCGCCTCTCACAGTGCAGAGCCTGTCCTGCTGGACCCGGGGCTGAGGAGGCTGGGATAGTCCATGTTCATGTCCACCTGGACCTGGAAATGGAGGATCCCTGAGGACCCAGCCCTGGGACCAAGGGGGACCCATTCAGTGACATCAGAGAGACCCTGATGAGCACCCTCCCCCCACCCTGGAGTAGCGCTCAAGGGAGCAAATGTCCCCACACGGGGGCTGCCCAGCTGACTGTGGGCCCTCACAGGGTGCCAGCCCTCTCACTGGCCGGCCAGCCTTGCTGGATGCCCTCACTCCACAGGACCCTGCAGCCACCTCTAGTTGAAGAGCATGGACTGGGACAGGTGACCCTCCAGCACCCCCAGTGTCCTAGTGGACCCCCAGGGAGCCCAGCCGCCGGGGGACTGTGCTGAGCAGGCTGACATGTGGCGTGTGTCCCTCAGCACAGCTCAGAAACTGCTCCAAAGCCGTTTTCTTCCAGAAAAGTTGTTACACATTTTCTTCCCACATCCCAGTGATCCCCCTGACAGAGTGGGTCTTCTCCCTGGGGTCTTCCGGGCTGCATTCTTAGGGTGCAGATCACCAGGTTTCGTCTGCAGAACTTGGGGGGCGGCAGGCACTGCTAAATGCTCACCAAGCCCCTTGCTGCTGAGTGGATTCCCGTTTGCAGACCCTGGAGGACAGAGGGGAGCTGGCCGCAGGCCTCCACGGCTGCGGTCCTCACCGAGGCAAACTCACCGGGGCTGAGCCGAGACCCCTGGGGTCAGCAGCCGCATCCTTCAGCCGCTGCACGGCAGGCAGTTTCCCACCCCAAGGGCACCGGAGCCACTGCATGAAGGGTGTGGTCGATTGGCTTCTCAGTCTGTAGCGATCTGCACATTTTCCACGGGTTTCATTTGTCGTCTTTGGCGTGATAGCTGTTTGAGGCTTGCGCGCTCTTTAATTGGGTTGCCCGTCTTCTTGTGCAGTTGTTTATATTTTTATGTATTTCTGAATATTAAACTCTCACCAGATGTGGCTGTCCCAATAAGTCCTTCCATTATGCATTATTTTTTCACTTTCTTGATAATGTCCCCTGGTAAACAACACCCCCCATTTTGGTGAAGCTCAAATTATATGTTTTCTTTTGTTGCTTGTGAGTTTCTCTTACCAGAGAATCCTTTGCCGAATACAAGATTCTAATGATTTAGTACTGTTTTCTTCTGCGTTTTCCGTCTTGTTATGGAGCAGTGTAGCTGGTGATGGTTAGCCCTGCCGTATGTGATACAGGGTAGGGCACGTGTACGTGGCACGTGTACGTGGTACAGGTGGGTGGGAGGCTCTGATGGCCTAGTGGTAAGAGGTTGCATTACCTTCTCAGAGGCATGCCCTGCTCAGCAGGAGGACAGACAGCCTCCGGTGAGACTCACGGCCTCTGAAAACCTGCTGGAGGGTCAGTTATGGGTCATCGCAGACTTGACAGCACACAAGAGGCGTGGGTAGTGACATTGAGGGACAGAGACAGAGGAGAGTGGGTGGAGCAGGCAGCAGGATCGGGGCCTGGTGCTGCCTGTATACCAGAGGGGATGGGACCCGACTCGCCTGGACGCTGTTAAGCCACCCTCTACCCTCTGTCCTGAGCCCACAGGCTCCACCAGCCAGAAGGTGCAGCAAGGAGGGTAGGCAGCCTCGCCCCCACCCTGAGACCCCCGGTCTTACGCCCCTGACTGCCCCGTGGGGCTGGACGAGGCGGGTCCTGCGGCCTGAGCCCAGCCTCCTCTCACCCTGAGCACCCACGTCCTTACCCAGCACTGCCCTCTTGCTCAGTGTGGAACCTGGTGGTGCAGGCAGTGCCCCGCACCTGATTCCACAGCGGCGGCCAAGCACTCGCTGCTGTCGGTTCAAACCCCACACTTGCTCTGGCGGAAGATGTTGCATTTTGCTTCCAGAGATTTACCGGCCTTGGAAACCCTACGGGGCGGTTCTGCTCTGTCCTGTAGGGTCGCTGTGAGTCAGGGTCCACTCCAGCAGTGGCCTCGTGTCCCATCGGAGCCTGCACGCGGGCAGTCTGGGGGTCTCTTAGTTTTGCTGGAGCACTCGTGGGGCCTGGCCAAGTGTGCCCTGTAAGAGCTTGCTTGAGGCCAGCTGGGCACCTGGGCGGGCAGGGACCAGTGTTAGAGGCTGGCTCCCCCAGCCTAGCCCCTAGGGCAGGAATCCCCACGAGGAGGGGCAGGGTGGTGGGGAGAGGTGGCAGCTCCTGACAGTCCCATGTCCTTTGCAGATGTACTGGTGGACGGGCAGCCTTGTGACTGTGGGGTGGCGACCGCCTGCAGCGTGGGGGACCCCGTGCGCCTGGAGGTACGCCTGACCAACCGGAGCACGCGCAGCGTGGGGCCCTTTGCGCTCACCGTGGTGCCCTACCAGGACCACCAGAACGGTGTCCACAACTACGAGCTGCACCACGCCGTCTCCTTCGTGGGCTCCAGCACCTTCCACCTGGAGGCGGTATGTGACCAGAGACCCGGACCAGCAGGAACTCACAGGGCCCACCCTTCCTGCTGTGTGCTGGGGGGACCTCGGGCAGGCGGCCTCGGGCAGAGGCTCATGGTCTTGGGAAGGCAGCCTCAGGCTGGCGGCCTCAGGGCTCCTGAAATGCTCAGCGGGGAAGACAAGTGAACCGCCCGCAGCTGAGTCTAGGACAGGCACCGCTGGGACCTTAGGTCCAGGCAGCATCGGAGTCCATGGTCACTGTTATCCCAACGTCAGCTCCCCCTCACTGCGGAGCGTCCGCACTGCGTGCCAGGCTCCAGAGCGCCCAGGAGCTGCTGATTGTGGGTGGAGCCGGCCCTCCACCTCCACACCTGAGGCCTGTCCCGCTCAACCCTGGCATGGCCTTGCCTCCAGGCCTGCTCTGTTCTGCCGACTTCACCATCCCCTGACCCCTTCCTCACTCTCCTTTCCACCTCTGACCCGCCCCTGGGGCTGACTCCAGGTTCCATCTCACCCCTGACTACACTCTGGCCTCCCAGCCCCCTCAAGCTCCTCCCCATCTATTCCCTCATCCTCCCCACCCCCATTCCTTGGTCCTGCCCTCTGCCCAGCCCCTGGCAATGTGGCTCTGGCTTTATTGGGTTCAGCTCTTGGCTTGCCAGCCACACCCCACACTGTCCCACATCCTGAGCTCCCTGGATCCCAGACAGGCTGGGAGGTGAAACAGGGACGGAATGTCAGGGGCCCAGGGTGGGGGTGGGTGCAGGGCCTACAAGGCATCCCTCAGGGTGGCGTGGGCCTGCAGAGCATGGGCATGGACATAGTCCCCACTGGACATCCCCTGGGATGGCGGGGTGTGGGCACAGGCCCTGCTTTGGACAGCTCCCTGGGGTGGGCACGGACACAGGGCCTGCTGGACATCTCCCAGGGTGGGTGCAGGTGTGACGCCTGCTGGGTTCTGTGGTCTCTGGCGGCTTTGGGCGGTCAGTGAGACCTCCTTCTCCACCCCAGGTACAGCCTTCGGGGCAGTCGGCCTGCCTGGGGGCCCTGCTCTTCCTGTACACAGGCGAGTTCTTCCTGCACATCCGCTTCCATGAGGATAACTCGAGCAAGGAGCTGCCGCGGTCCTGGTTCTGCCTGCCCAGCGTGCACCTGAGTGCCCTGGAGACGCGGGCCTGAGCCACCACCAGCCCCTGCGCTCCACCCCCCACCCCAGTGCTCTCCACACGCTGCGGATTCTCCTGTGGACTCCCTACCCCCAGCGCCCCTGTTGGGAGGTGGCGCCCACCCTGCAGACCCCAGGTCCAGCGTCCCCGCCTCATCCCCTGGGACCTGGGGTCGTAGGCCAGCCCTAGTGCTGCTCGCACCTCCCACTCAGAAAACCAGAGTGGGGACAGAGCCCCCCATCCCGAGCTGGGGCCCCTGGCTGTGTGGCTGTATAGCTGTATTGTGACAAATTCTTCAATAAAGGGTGGGCCTGACTTCTCTGTCCCCCAGACCTCTGTTACCTTGCCCAGTGTGGCTGCCCCCCCTAACTCAGGTGTTGGCTGCAGTAGGTGGGGCAGGAACGGAAGCACCCCGGGTACACTGCTGGGCCTGGTGGCCAGCAGCTCCAGGCGTCTTCCCAGGCCACAGACTCTCCCCACTTGAGTCCCTTCCGCTCTGGGAACACCAGCTGGAGCCCTCACACTGGGGGTCTCAGCCACCCCAGCCTCTGGAGGTCCACTGGGTGTTTGAGCAAGTCACCCCTCCTTTTCCTGGAAAGCCTGTCTGCTCCTCATGGACAGAGTGATGGCCTGAGACCCAGATGACCCCTGGCAAGGTTGCCTCGCCGCGCCCCAGGCCTTTCTTGGTGTTGACAGTTCTCCCTTCCTCCAAGCAAGAGGCACCACTGGGGGGGGGGCACTGAGAAAGGGGCAGGAGTCTCGCGTCTGAGGGTCCCTGCTTCTCAAAAGGTGAAGGGGACTTGTAGGGGGACAGCACTGTTTGGGGATCATTGGCTGAGGGAGTCCTGTAACTTGGAGTCTGGGTGTGCAGTGTACCCTCCTGCCCACCTCTGCCCCATGCCCACCTCTGCCCTCCTGCCCCCTTGCCCACCTCTATCTCCGTACCCATGTCTGCCCTCCTGCCTACCTCGGCCCCCTTGCCCACCTCTGCCTTCATAGCCACCTCTGCACTTATGCCCACCTCTGCCCCCTTGCCCACCTCTGCTTCTGTACCCACCTCTGCCCCCTTGCCCACCTCTGCTTCTGTACCCACCTCTGCCCCCTTGCCCACCTCTGCCCTCATGCCCACCTCTGCCCCTTTGCCCACGTCTGCTTCCGTACCCACCTCTGCTCTCATGCCCACCTCTGCATCTGTGCCCACCTCTGCGTCTGTGCCCACCTCTGCCTCCATGTCCACCTCTGTCTGGCATCTCAGCTGCCCTGTGCCGTGAGAGTGGGTTGTGCCCCCATTTCAGATGGACGCTGAGTCTCCCAGCAGGAATCACGAGACCAGGATTAGAAGCCCACGCAGGCAGGGGTGGGCATGACGCCCCAGCAGTGTGTGGACCTGGCGGACAGTCCACAGTTCACTTGCCTGGGCGGGTTGCTTATCCCAGAGCAGCCCACTCCCAAGAGAGGCTGGATCAGCAGTTTCCAAGGAACTTAAAGTACAGCACGGGGTGGATGTTTACCCAAATGACTTGTGGTGACACCAGGGGATGGGTGTTTGGCTTTTGCCCAAGAAATGTGAGGTGTGAGCAGTGTGGGTTCTGGCCGAAGACTCGGGGGACAGTAGGGAGTGGGTGCTTACGCATGGTCATGGGGGGGAGCAGGCCAAGCCAAGAAGGGCTGCCCTGGCCACATCTGGTGCACAGTGTGGACTTGAGCGGCATCTGGGGTGAGAGCTTCCCAAGGACTGGCACCCCTACTCAAGCACGCCCTGCTATGAGAAGATCCCCCTGCACCTCTGTACCGCCAGCTCACGTCCAGGTCCCTGAGCGCCCGTCTATGGCCTTCTGCTGCCTCCTGGCAGATGACGACTTGCTGTGATGCAGACCATGGTGTGTGAGCACGTAGTTGTCCCAGAGCCTCATGTATGTTTATCATCTGCCCCAGGATGTGTCCCCTCCAGGGCAGGCGCAGAGTACTGGAGAGACCTCTGTAGCCCCTCTTACCCTGAGCCCTGGGGCCCTGTTCATGCAGTTCTGCAGTAGAAGTTGCCGGATCCCTTTGGTCAGGCTCTGTGGGAACTCCTCCTGGTCCAACAGTCATCTGTCCAGACTCCCCAAGTCTGCGCCCACCAGCCTATCCCTACCCTCGGCCCGTCCAGGACATGCCACTGTGGACACTCTGTATGTGGTGAGCAAGTATCAAATAGGAACTCAGCCTGAGGTCAAGGCCAGCTTGGCCATTTTTGCCCTGAGACCTGCTTGTCACCATCCTAACCTTCATCCCACCCACAGGCGCTGTCATCATTGAGGGGCATGTTGACTCAGGACAATGTTAGGGATGCTAGGAGAGGGCACAGCACACTTCCCTGGACACAGGAGGTGTCCAGTAAATACATGGTAAGCTCCCTCCTTCCCAGGATCTAGCAATACCTGGCCCACATTGCTGGTGGGAGGCCTCCAACTGCATCTGTCACAGGAAGCCACCACGTTGCAGGTTGCATACTCTGCCCCATGAAGCACAACGTTCACAAATACCGCAAGGACGGCCAGAACATCTGCCTGCTGTCTCAGAGCTCTCATGATGGCAGTAGCCCTGGGCCAGGCAAACACGGAGCCAAGTGATGCAGTGGCTGTTCTTGAATGTCCTTCTAGTGAGGCATTTTGTGCCCATTTGTTCAGGCAAACACTCAGATGTTATGGGCTGGCATTTTGCAGATGTTATTAACATTACCATCAGCCGACTTCAAGTATAAAAGATGAGTCTGGATCACATGGGTGAGCCTGATGCAGTCGGTAGAAGACTGTAAAAGAGCTCTTTTTGCATTGAGTCTTTATCTCGGTGACTTTTTTGCACATAAGTGTGTAGCAGGGTCCAGCTCTTCTCTCTGCTCAGGGGTTACTCACTCTTCCAGCACTATTTAAGGAAAAGGCAATGCTTTCCCCAAAGGCAGGCAACATGCAGGGCCTTCCATTGGCCCACATGTCTGTTCTGTGCTTAAATGATTGCTTTAGACTACATCTTGACATCTTCAAGAATGTGTTAGCTAGTATTAGGCCTTTGCATTCCAATTTAAATTTGACTTGGCTTGCCAAGTTCCACAAAAAGAAATGTCAAAAAAATCTTATTGGTGCTGCATTGAATCTATAGATCAATTTAGGGAGCATTCACATCTTTATGAGAAATAGTTTCTCCAATGCATTTATTTAGATCTCTTTAATGCTCTCCAGTAAATTTTTATAACTTTCCTCATAAAAGTCTTGCACATTACAGAACAGATTTATTCCTGGGTTCTGTATGAGTCTCCTATTGCTGCTGTAACAAATCACCCTACGCTGAGTAGCTTCAAACAGCACACATTTCTCCTGTTACAGCACAGAAGGCAAGAGTTGGAAGCAAGTTTCTCTGGGCTAAAATGAAGGTGTCGTCAACAGGGCTGTGATCTCTCTGGAAGCTTCAGAGGAGATTCAAACTTTCAAAGCTGAGGGAATCCAACTCTCATGGCCCTTTCCTCTGTCTTTCAAGCCTGGGTCATGGGACCAAGTCTGTCTCATGCTGCCCTTTCTCTGGTGTTTATCTACCCCTTCCCTTTTTGGGAGCCTTTGTGTTGCCATGAGCCCACCTGCTCCATCTAATCTCCCTAATAGAAGGTCAGCTGACTAGTCACCTTATTTCTAGCCATACAGGCAGACTTCCCTGACTGTCCTTGTGCTATAAGAATGCAGACTTTTTTTTGTTTATTGATCCTATGTCCAACAACCTTGGAAGGATCACCATTCTAATACATCAGAAGATGTATTTAGCTGTTTTGTGTCATCCCTGATAGAATTATGAATAGTCACACTTGCTCCTTAGCAGTGGACACATAACCCACCACACTACCAAGGGGCTGCCGCTTTCACTTTAGTTCTGTCTTCATCTCTATGACCATGGGTAGGAATGAAAATCCTAGATAAGGTAGATCATAAAAGCACCACCACCAAAAAGATTAACTCACTTCTTTTTAAAGGCAAGTGGATTTCAAAAACTGTCACACAGAAGGTGGAAAGGAAGTTACAAACCAAAGTCAGAGGACGATAGTCTGATCCTGCAATGAGATTATCAAGCTGGGAATAACATAAGTCACTCTTTTACAAAGCCATGGGGAAAGCAAGCACAGCCTGCCTTTTTTTTTTTTTTAAATAAAATTCTTATTCTATACTGGTTTACTTAAAAAGTTCATATACATTTTTTATCACATCTGATCTTTTCCATTTCCTTGACCCACCGCTCCTTCCACCCATCAAATTGTGTGACCCTATGATTAACTGCCCCCTGCCCATCCACACCCCTCTGTCCCCCACCTTGGATCCTCATACATGTTCTACAATAATGGTCTGATGCAGTATTTATCCTTATGGGACTGAGTTAGTTCACTTAGCATAATGGTTGCCAGTCCCTCCCAAATTAGGGAGTGATTTACAAAATCCTTGTTGCTGGGTGCTACATAGTATTCCATCATGTGAATATACCATAATTTCTCAATCCGTTCGATTTAGCCTGGTCCTTTGGAGTGCAAAGGGGGCCTGCCTCCCACAGGATGGAGGAGAGAACAGCAGAAGTGCCCACCATCACCGCCAGCAAGGCTGGACTTGGCACACCCAGCAATCTGAATGCCCATGGCACACCTTGAGGACACTCAGAATCAGTACAGAAGATTGATGCAAAAATGTGTGCACCAGCAATGATCATCATAATAAAAACAGGACAAAAATCATACAGCCTGTAGGAATGGGACGGGTGAATACGGTGTAGTGTATGCTTAAAGCAGAACGCTGTCCCACAGAACATGAAGATACATTTTAAACACAATGTGGACAGACTAAAGCATCAACCAAAGAGTCCACGTAATACAAGTGCAGTGACATCAAGCTGCTTAGCTGAGTCTGTGTGTTTATTACGGACACATGCCTACACCTTCACCATCCAGTTTATTTCGTTTCACGATGACCTTCCATTGGATTTAGGGGGTTGTGAATCTTACCA